CTCTTGGGCTCGACTTCCAAGGGTATGGATGAGAAAATTTTCTACAACTTGCCCTCAAGGGGACTTTCTACCCAAAAATCTTTCATGAGAAAAAAAAATTTACTGAAATGACAGTTTAAGGCAACATGAAAACAAAATAAGATTTCATAAGACGGTCTTTTACTCAAATAAGATAATTTGGAGTTGTACTTCTCATTAAATAACTCCAATGATTCTCTTAAGGTTCCCCTCACTTTGTTCATGTAAGTAGCCACTAGGTGACCTTAGCATATCAAACGTTTAATTGATTCCTTTAATTAAAAACATATTTTTGTCAAATGTCCTTTTACATAGTGAAAATGAGAATATTGAGACTAGTCTTCATAATCTATATGTCTTAACGGCCTTAACTATTTGACAGTTTCTTTATCCTTGATGTCCATTATAATATTGATACGTGATGTGTTGAGTGTCGTGTGCTCTTTTTTTTATCATGGCTCACGATTCCCCTATGGTTCAAAATTTTTTCTTTCTGAGATTTGATCAGGATCCCCAATGTTATCTTGCACTTGCTCTCTAATTGCTCAAATTGTTCCTTATGTGCCATGATGGTATTGTCTGCAGACATTTGAGCCTCAACACGATGGATGAGATCAGCGTAAGAGTATATTGTCTCCCACATAAGTGGTGAATACAAGGTTCTGGGTGGAGCCCACTAAGAAAAACTCCTCTCAGTAACTCTGGATCCACTCCAGAAATTTGGCGGGCTTCAGTGGAGAACCTGCTAAAGTATTCCTTGAGGGATTCCCCCTCATTGTGACGAACTCCTGATAAGTGAGATGAATTTTTGATGATCATTCTATCTGTTATGAACTGGTCTACAAATAATCTGACAAGCTCATTGAAGGTATTGATGTCCCCCCCCCCGGAGAGAGAGTAGAATCATGTGCGAGCTTGACCTTTAAGAGTCATCGAGAACATTTGAAAGAGAAGCACGGTAAATGTACAAGATGGTTTGATACTGTTTGACGTGCTAGTATGGATCAGTTACCCTTCAGAGACATCAATGTTTGAGAGTTTGAAACCTATTGTGATAGGGTGTCAAAAAATCGGTTCAGCCAAAGGAGAGGATTCTTGGAAGTGCGGTGAGCAGGGAAGCGATCCCTTTTATCCAAAGGGAACTCTTCCCGAAACCGTGCATTGTAGCTCATCTTGGATGATATCAGCAGAAGCAACACTAAGGCAGAACGAAGGTGAGCTGCATGAGATTTATGAGTGAAACTTGTAATGTCGAGAAAATCAGTGTCTAATCTCGACAGGGGAATGGTTTCATCATTATGAGAGAACTCAGTGACTGGGGTATTTCCTATTGAATGTTTAATTAGTGGTAAATAAGTTCCATTGGGTTGCAAATGTCACTCCTCACGCAGAAGATGAAAGAACTCATGTTGAGACTCCTCTATTCTACATACTCGATCTTCTAGAGAATGACCCAAGACACCTTAGTTAGAAGGATAATGCCTTATGGAGTAAGAGGATGCATAGGCTTGATGACCTTCGCTTAGTGGTTGTCTTTTGGAAGGATGGGTGTTGGAGCGGGATACTCCATTGCTGAAAGTATTGCGATTGGTGATCATACAATAATTCATACGTATCTTAGTGATGAGAATGCTCTATTTCTCATAGACGACACCAAACTGATGCGTGCTAAAAAATTTGAGGAGGTAGAGGATGGATTATCGTCTTAGTGGGGTACAAAGAGTCATTACACAGTCAAAAGAAAGAAAATAACTAGTAATGACACCAACAATTTTTACGTGGAAACCTATAAATGGAAAAAATCACGGGGTCTAGCACAGCTGTAAAAATCTACTATAAGTTGATAATTACAGCAACCCTTTTGTCCCACATACAGATAAATTACAACGTTGACGTGTGAATGAATTTGTTGTAAGAAGTGGGCATCAATCGAAGGTGAACGGTGGAGGCCATCAAGTGATGGTTAATAGTGGTCGATGGTGGTCAGTGGTGGTTGACGGTGGTTGGCGGCGATCAGCGACGGCGTTGTACTTCAACTCATTCTTAAATCTTCAAGTTCTTTCTTAAGCCTCAAGCTCTTCTTATTATGAGAGGGGTGTGACTTTATTTATAGTGTTATGCATGTAATTAATGTAGGGTTATGAAACATTTTGATCAGAAAGTCTGGAGAGCTTCCTTCGATCAAAGGTCGTTTGATGGACATTTAAGTGTCTTAATGATGCAAAATTGAGCAATCTTGAGCTCTTTTGATTCGGCTTATCGAGACACTCAATTTGACTTTAGACTTGCTAGATTCTTTATTCGTTTAACTTTCTAAATATGTCCAAAAACCTTCCAAGAGTGGTTTAACGACTTGATCCGAGGTTCATTTGACTTAGATTGGACTAAATGTAGGGTAAAATTGTCTTCTTCTTGTCGAGTCGGTCAATTTTACTGTACGTTTGATAAAAAACAGAGTCATAGATGAGTTTTTATCGATGTTTGAATATTTTTTTTCCAGAAAATCGCCTCAAGATCTATATCATTCCTCAATATTCGTGTCAAGTGATGAAGACTTGCTGAAAATGTATCAATAATTATGTTCAACAACATGTTATCCCTCCTGATATTATTTCTTCTTAAAATGATTTTATAAATGGCGTTGGTATTTGTGGTGGCAATATTTATGTTTCTTTTCATGATATAATTTTGGGTGGTAATGTCATGAATACAAGAAGCATATCTTCTTCTTATCCTCCCACTTCTTCAAGAAATAAGGAAGCAAAATCTAAATGATTTGTCTTTTGTCTTATTTCTTATTTAATTTTATGTTTTTCCTTACCTTCATTTATTTTATTTTAATATTTCTTCCTAAGTTGGCTACTTGAAATGCCAGTGGGTTAATAGTGGTGCTCGGGTTGTAGATCACAATACTCTATCAAAGAGCATAATTTTGATTTATTATGTATTTTATAAACAATTTTCTTTTTTTTAGCATTTAATTATATTGTTTTATATTAATTTAAAGTTGTTTTCTAATGAAGGTAGTATGTTTAATTTTTGTCTTGTTGATAATTGGACAATTTGGGTAATATGGAATAAAAATATTTTGCATTTTTTTTTATTTATATTGAACACCATTCTAATATGATTTCTTTGGGTAAATTTTCTAAATTACATTGTAGATTTTTATATAATTGTTTACTTTATTAGTGCTAAGCTTCTCCTTAGAGTTAGTCATATTATTATTGCGGTTATTATGAAAAGGCCTAATGTTAAGCCTTCTTATTATTATGATTATAGCCTAATTATTATTGCGGTTAATATGAAAAGGCCTTTTTATTATTATTATTATCATCCTATTTCTTTATGTAATATTTTTTTTTATAAAATTATTGTTATTTTTTGAGCAGGTAAACTTAACATGATTCTTTCCAATATTATTCATACATCCCCCAAGGAGAGAAATTTGCGTACATAAGACGTTTGCAGAGCTGCGTACATCGAAGATTATTCAGAGGATATTGGGGGGTTATATACGAGTTATACCCCGTGTAACCCTCTGAATAACCTCCGATGTACGCTGTTCTGCAAACATCTTACGTACGCAAATTTTTCTCTTTCGCAAGATACTTTTATTTAATGTCAAGGTATTGCTGATAATATTATTTTAGCAAAAGCGATTTGTTCTATAATCAATATCATTGAAGCCTCTAACAAGATTAGTAAGCATTTTATTTATAAGAGAATGGAAAGGATTGACATTCCTTCTATTTCATTACATTGATTATTGCTTCTACTATTGAAGTTAATTTTATTATTATTATTATTATTAACACTGAATTAAAATACTATTTTTCTTCTTATTTAGGGTTAAGAAAAGCTTGTTGTTCTCTTTCTCCATACCTGTTTGCTATTGCTATGAATTCTCTTTCACTGATGCTTGACAATCATTTGACTGGTAATAATCATGCTAAAAGTATTAATCACTTAATATATGCTGATAATATTCTTTTTTTATAAGGATAATATACATCATATAAATTATATCTCTAATATCCTTAATAATTTTAGCAAAGGCTCAAAATTTTATATTAATATTTCTTAATTAGCTTTTTTTTTCCAAATATGTAGATATCACTTTTCAACAATAAATTGGTAATTTATATGGTTTTCCTATTAAGTATTTATCGTAGGAATACTTTGGTGTCACTATTAAACCTTCAGAGCTTGTTATTGTTGATTGACATGAACTTATTGACGAAATTCATACTTGGCTTGTTAGTTGGAAAAAAAAAAGTTATATTTTCTATGAGTAGACTTCAATTAATTAAATTAACTATTTCGAGCTACTATTTTGCCTAAAAGTTTGAGAAAAAAAATTTTTTTCCATAATTTCCAACTTTTTTCATAATAATTATGATAATAAAAAACTTCATACCATATCTTATCATAAAGTGACTATGTCTAAACATATTGGTGGGACATATTGGCAGATTTAGTCATTTTTCTTTGGCTTATATTGATTTCAGGTGCAAATTCAAAATTATTTGAAAATTTTATAATTATAATTCTTATTTGATTAGTTGGATTCTTAATCATTATGGTTTCATTTGGGATAATTTTCGTTCTATTTCTACTCATTTTGAAAATATTTGATTATACTTAATCTAATGATAATCGCTTACTTTTAATTATAATCATTGGTTTAATATAGTTTCTATTAAATAGCATATAATTCTTCAGTGTTGGAGTTCTATATTGAATAGTGGCAACTAGTCTATATTGTTTGAAGATTTGGGTTCTAATAGAAACAAGATTGGGATGACTTCAGATAGACTTGTATTGATGTATTTAATATTTTAAAAAAATCACCTGAGTGGTACAGTTGTAAATATCAATGATTCGGATGGTCTGCGTGTAATTATCCCAAGAAAAAAAGAAAACTGAAATTCAAAAAGAAGGGAGTGCTATTCGGTCGGCATCCTTAATTTTCTCATTCTAACAACGGAACCGTCTAGCATATATCGCTTCGCAGTCACATCGCAAACCACTTACGAAAACGTCTTCTTCCCGTTCTTCCTGCGATTCTCGCTGTTCCTCGTTCATCCCTCTTCACATTTAGCTCCGATCGATCGCTGGAAGGATTTCGCAGGGTACGCTCGGATGTGCGGCTTCTGGAGAGGAATACATGAGGAGATCTCTGGTGAGAGATAAGGTGGCGGTAGTGAATCTCAAGAATTGTGGCGTTGAGGCGAGAGGCGGGGCTTAGATGCCCTACCAGTGGATTTCGGGATGGAGCGGCGCAGCGCTCGTTGCGTTCGCTGCATTTTCTCCTGTGGTTGCGATGGTGATTCGAAAGAAATGGAGGCTCGCGGAGGTCAGGCGCAGGGAGGTCATGCGGCTCGCTCAGCTGGCGGCGGCGGAGGCGGAGAGGGCCGAGAAGGAGGCGGAAGCAGCTTTTTATGCGGCGGAGAAACCAGTTTCTGGCGTTGATGGAGCGGGAGTTGGAATGCAGAACTGCGCTGTCTGCCACAGCCCTACCACAACGCGCTGCTCGCGCTGCAAGGCTGTTAAATACTGGTCAGCTGCGTTATTTTTGGATCAAGTTGTTTGTTATGCTCGGAATTGTTATTTTATTTTATTTTTGTGTCAATTGTATGTTGGTAGTACGAATTTTGAAAGAGAATGGGTTCGACGATGTTTGTTAGGGTTTCAGTGGGGATTTGATCTGGGGATCTTCTTCTTGGGGATAAGAGCGCTGATTTTACTGTAGTGGGGAAGGGTATTCTGATTTGAATTAATAGACTGTATTTGTGACACTTAAGTCGTAAAAAGAAGGGCTTTAAAATTCGAGAACAATCTAGGATTCATGTAATTTGTTAAAAGAAATTGTTGATTTCCTATAATTTTTGTCTAATTTTTGTTTAGGGATGTGAATTTGACTGATTGATCGATTCATTGTTCTCAACATCTTGGCTTTAGACTTGAATTGAATTAAGATTAATTTCAACTAGCAGGCGAACTTTCCATTCCTTGATTACTTGGATTGAATTTCGATTGCGCTAAACTTGGTTTTGTTCTTGCCAGCTCGAGATAGAATCACAATGTATGTAGATGTATGAGTTCTTTTTTAATGTACTCATACTCATATTAATGAGTATAAATATGCATGTCTAATTGTTTGTTGGTTGGATTAAGAATTTATTTTTACAGATAAAAATTAAGAGAAACACACCTTTTGGTTTGGGTCAAACATGAATCAAGATGTTTGAGCCACTTAGGCTCAACTCAAGATTGGCCTATAGGTTATGCTTGTTATCCTAGTCAATGGTTTTGAGCCAGATCAACTCGAGATCAAATCATTCAAAGCCCTATTTTGTTTCTTCTTATGTACTCATTTTGTTTATCGTGGCAGACACCTCACAATATAGTCATGATTGGAACTAGCTGGGAAGACAACAAATGGATAGAAATGTTTAGAAACCCGACATCTGTCTTTCCTCTGGCGTCGAAACACCCAGGTCGAGTTCTCGATGACAGCCTTCTTCGTGATAGGGACTTTCCCCGCCAGCTCTAGTTATATTTCTCTTTCTTCATCTTTTGTTATTTGGTGGTGTGCTTCTCGGCGCTTCTTCTCCATTGGTTTCTTCTCGAACTTCGACGCCATTGAAATTTGTAATTCGAGAGAAAGATAACTTGTTCTTATCTTTGTTCCTCATCTAGTTTTCACGGAGAATGCTTTTGTTCTTGAGTAACGTGAATCGGAGAATTGAACTAAATCAAAAGTAGGCATATGAAATACTCAATTTGTTTCAACTTCTTCTTTGCTAGCGCTGCCTCCATCAACTTCTCCTTTGCTCAACTTTAAGCATCGAAATAACTCGCGATGTCGTACAAGCCAGCGATGGCCGAGGCTCAAAAAGTTCTACGATTTCTATTGGTTTCAGCAATTCCAAAACCAGTTTGCCCTATCTATGATGGTGTGAGCATAGCAAAAAATCATAACATACGAAGGATGTATATTAAAAGCTTCACAATAAATCCGCAAATTGGAAACCAAAATCTAAACGTGATATCAAACAACTGCTGATGAAATTCAAGAGCCTTCTATCAACTCAGATGCAATATCTTTCACTAAGGAGCAATTAGAGCACATGCACAAGTTGTTTCAATCTCCAAAATTATTAGACTTTGTCTTGCTCTTTTGTACAGAAGAGTAACTCTCTAGTCACTGTATTGTAGATGTAACCCTAATTTTATTCATTCTTGGATAATCAATTCTAACACAATCACTCATGTAATTGGTTGTTCAAAATTATTCTCATTTTATAGACCTTGAGCAGGCAATAAAAATGTCAAAATTGTCGATATTTTTTCGTCGATAATTGCCAGGATAGGAACTATCAAACTCACCTCGTTAACCTTTCGTGATGTGCTCTATGTTAACAAATTGTCTTACAATCTATTGTTAATTAACAAATTTATTTCTCATTATCAGCACCAAGTTAATTTGTACTTTTCTTGTTATGAGTTTTAGAAATTGACCACTAGGAGGATGATTGACAGTGCTGAAAAAAATTGAACATTATTTTGACAATAGATTTGATACAAATAGAAATTGTCAAAATACTTGTTTAGATTCCAATATTATTTCGAAATTGTCATATTTTCAATGTGAAATCTGTCAGTTTGTCAAACATCATTATTTGTCTTTTCATCTCCAATTTTACAAATGAACTACACATTTTACTCTGATTCATAGTGATATATGTGGTCCTTGTAAACATTTTGCACACTTTAGAAAAAATTGTTTGCTACATTTACTGATGGTCACACAAAATTAAGTTAGATATATTTAATGAATGAAAAATATATAGTGAAAGCATTTTTTAAAAACCTTTTCCTCATGTTATAAACACAATTTAAAAATTTATTCAAATATTATAGAGTGATAATTGCCAATAATATTTTAAAAATATTTTGGGTCAATTTTTTTTCGAAAAAATAATAATTCATCAAATTTTATTTGTCGACACCCCACAATAAAATAATGTGGTTGAAAGTAAAAAAAAATTATCAAAAGTAAGTTGAACATTGCTATTTACAAATCAGGTGTCAAAATATCTTTTGGGCGAAGTCATTCTTACTGATACATTAATGTTTTGAACTTTGATACACTTTTTGATATTTTTCATAAAATTTACCTAACAAACCGACTTTCTTCTTCTTTAACTTTAAAGATAGTTTGAGTTTACAACATTTGTTCTCATCTATATTCATAATCAAGGAAAATTTGAACAATTAGCTATAAAATGTGTATTTAGTGGTTACGCTCCCACCCAAAAGGGGTATAAATATTTTGATTATATTTCTAAAAAAAATATTGTCACCATGGTTGTTACATCTTTAGAATTACAATCATTTTTTAATATCAGCTTCAAAGGAGGAGGGTCAAAACAAAGCTTCAACTACTGCTATCTAAGACTCATAAAATTATACCTCCCCAACTTTGATTGTTCAACTTGAATATCCTAACTACATTATATCATGAGAAAATGAGTTGAGATTTTTAGATATTTAAGACGATTCAGATCTTCCTACAAAGCCATCTCATGATGCTCATAATCTTATGACAACTAACAAAGAGAACATAGAAGAAAGTACCTCATCATTTACACCTTTCGACATTATATACCCGACAAAGGACAAAGAGTTTATGAATTATTTTCATTGCCCATAATCCATGAATCTTCCTGATAATATGCTCATTGAGCCTTTACCCTATGATCATTCTACTTCATCTTCAAGTTATGAGTTTCTAGTTTTGAACTCGAGTCTAGCCCTAATTCGAAATCTAAAGATTTCAGTCATCTCATTGCTTCTTGTATGGGCGCGAGATCTTGCACACAATATCCATTATCTCATGATGTTCATAATCTTATGACAACTAACAAAGAGAACATAGAAGAAAGTACCACGTGATTTACACCTTTTGACATTATATACCCGACAAAGGAGAAAGAGTCTATGAATTATTTGCATTTCCCATAATCCTTGAATCCTCCTGATAGTATGCTCATTGAGCCTTTACCCATGATCATTCTACTTCACCTTCAAGTTATGAGTCTTCTAATTTTAAACTCGAGTCTAGCCCTAATTTGAAATCTAAAGATTCCAGTCATCTCATTGTTGCTTATATGGGTGCGAGATCTTGCACAACATCCATTATCTCATTACGTGCCATATGAAAATTTTCACCTATTTTTGGATTTTTACAACACAATTGTCTTGTATGGAGATTCATAATACTGTGTAGGATGCTCTAAAAGTTTCTAAGTGAAAAGAAGCCGCCTTCGAGGAGATAAAAACTCTAAAAAAGTGGCATGTGGGAATTGGTCGATCTGTCTAAGGGAAGAAAATCATTCGATGTAGATTAGTGTTTACAGTCAAATATAATTCTGATAGCTATCTAGAACAGTATGAAGTCTCAACTTCTTACCATGGGATTAGCTTAGATGTATGAAATTGATTACTTAAATACATTCGACTCAGTCATAAAATTAAACTCTATAAAGAGCTCGTCTGTCACTTTCAACTAATCTTAATTGACCCCTACTATACTAAAAAATATAAAAAATGTTTTTCTTTATGAGGACTTAGAGAAAGAAGTGTATATGGATGCTCCTCCAGGATTTAGTGAAAAATTCAACACAAATGTGTTTAAATTAAAAAAATCCTTATACGGTTTGAAGCAGTCACCGATATCGTGGTTTGAAAAATTTTCACTATTTGTTAAAAATCTTATGTCTACTCAAGAGTAAAGAGACCATACATTGTTCTCCAAAATTCAAATGATGAGAAGATAATATACTGATTATGTATGTGAATGATTTAATTCTCATCAGAGATGACTTATATGAAAAGAATAAGTTGAAGGCTTTCCTTACCAGTTTTTGAGACCAATGACTTAAGATTCATGAAGTATTTCCTTGGCATGTAGGTTGCTACATTGAAGGAAGCCGTTGTTATTTCACAACAAAAGTTAGTTCTTAATATTCCAAAGGAAATTGTGATGTGCGGTTTTAGGCCTGCAAAACCCCCCATTGATCCCAATTAGAAACTGAGACATGACCAAGTGAATACAACTCGATCTCAAAAGTTGGTTAGAAAGTTGAATTATATCACATATAAGGCCAAATATCACCTTTGATGTAAGCTTGGTAAGTCAATTTATACATTCTCTCTCTGATTCTCAGATACTTAAAAAGTGCACCAGGTGAGGGTATACTTTTTCAAAAAACCGCAGAACATAGCATAGAGACATATACCGATGTAAATTGGGCGGGCTCAATTATTAACATGAGATCGACATCCAGTTACTGTTCTTATGTCTGGGGAAGTCTGGTTACTTGGTAAAGTAAGAAATAAATTGTGGTGGCAAAGAGTAGTGCCCAGACAAAATATCAAGTTATGGCTAATGGAGTATGTAGGATGTTATGGCTGAAGATAATTCTTGAAGAACTATGGATCCCGATAAACATGCCGATGAAGTTGTACAACGACAATAAAACTATCATAAGCACTGCAAAATATCACGCGTAACATGATCACACAAAATCTGTGGAGATTGATAGACAATTCATGAAAGAGAAGATTGATTGTGGAGCTATTTGCATGCAGATGTCTTCACCAAAGGAATTTTCAGGCCTAGTTTTGAGTTCGTTGTATGCATGTTGGGCATGATAGCTATCTATGCTCCAATTTGAAAGGGGGGGGGGGGGGGGGGGGGGA